AACTTCTCCTTTTTGTTGATGACAAAGAGGGAGAAATATGATGATATTATGCATAAGTTTATGATAACATGTTGTTTGGATTTTTGAATCCAAGAGTTCTAACAATATTACATATTGATAGGGGGAGTTAAGGTTAACTTCGTCATCAATTGGTTGTCATCATAAAAAAGGAGGAGATTGTTGAATCTCGAATTTTGATTATGAAACCAATTGATAGTGTGTATGATTGAATCTGTGTTTTGAGTGACGTAGGATGCTTCGATCAAGGAGAGATAATTAAAGCAGGAAGAATCATCTTGGGCTAAAGAAAAATATGTCAGAAGATTGAACGTTGAGCCGAAGGATCAATCGATGTATCGACAAAAGACTTCGGGCCATGAGTTCGGGCATCGGGCCAAGAAGAGTGGATATTACGCTAACGAAATCGGAGTTATAGAGGTTAAATGGTCAATTGGGCAATAGGCCATAAGAGAGGACGATGCGTCGAACAATCGGATAAGGCATCGAACAATCGGACGAGGCATCGATGAACCAATGACATGCCGAACAACATCTGATTAGCTTAGTATTAATTGTCTAGTTCGAAGTAGGTTTTATGTGTGCAGGATTAATTACGATAGCAAGGCATAAAGCAAAATAAAGTTTCAGAGTCAAGGACATGATTTTGTTGGGAGTTCGAGAGTTCGTCGGAAGTCCGGACGTTTATCGGAAGTTCTATAGGAATTAATCGAGAAGTCTAGGAGCTTACTGAAGAAGCTCATCGGAAACCGCCAAGAAGATCGTCGAGAAGTCCAGGAGCTTGCTGGGAGTCTATTGGAACATTGTTAAGAGATCATCGGAAGTTCACCGGTGACTTACAAACTTATTTAACTTAGTAAATATCTTAAAATTCATAGTTAGCACAAAATTGGTATTAGAATTGAGCCAACCTAATTAAGGGATAGTTGGGCCCAAGTTTGGGCTGTGTTGGACCAAGAGAAAGGCTCAAACAATGACCAAACAAGTGAAACCATCGTGGCATAATCTCTGAGACTCTATCATGCGGTGGTACCACCAGTTTGGCAGTGGTATTACCCAGACCTAGTCTTCTAGGCAGTAGTACCACCCAGTGTCAGGCTGTAGGCGGTGGTACCGTCTGTACCTTAAAATTTTAAGGGATTTAAATTTTGGTTCCATTTTTGAGGTCATTTGGGATCTCTAAACATGGAGAAGAAAGAAAAGTGAACAAAAACTCTATATTTCTAGAGTTGAAAACCCTTGTAAAGTATAAAGTCCCTCCTCCTAAAGTTTAGAGATCATTCTAAGGAAGAGTGTGAGAGAAACTTTGTAAAAAATGGGTGTAAAGGTTTTCTCTTGAGCCTGCAAAAGGAGAATAGAGTTGTAAGAAGAATGTTGATCTTCACCTATTAAAGGAAGATCGTTAGTGGATACCAATGGCCTCGACGGAAGGAGAATCGGTGGAGTGGATGTAGGTCACGGCGATCGAACCACTATAAAAACTTGGTTTGTATTTCTATTCTTACTATTTATCTTTACTGTAAACTACTTACTTGCTTTACTTCCATTACGCTTACGAATACGATTTCAAAGTTAATCGAACTAAGATTTTTAGACTGACATAATCTTTCCGCACAATAGTAACACAAAATAATGCTTACAACTTCACCACAGTTCAACTCCATGCACTTTGCTAATCCTTTTTGTTTATTATTTAATCAATAGAACACCCTGCACAAAATTCAACACCTTATACTTCTGCCAACTGTTTCTGTCAAGGTTATTTGTCATTATTTCCTACCAATCATTTTATGACTTATTATCATGTTCCCAACTCATCCCTTGCCATCTCTCTCTCACTCTGACTCCCCCACATCATCATTCTACGTGATTGACTTGAAATAATCTAACCACGATCCTCTACTACTGAAACAATACAAACACTAAACATTTTCAACCACGAGCATTCTCAACTTATGAGTCTACTAGAATGATGGTACCACATCCTTGTGAATTTGAAAAGTGGGTGGCCTTGGTTCAAGCATTTAAAATTATGAAAGATATCCAATATTTAGCTAGTTTTTATATTCTATATTGTGTATAATAATATAGGAAGCATCAACACAGTAAAAAGTGGTCTCAAGATACCCAATATATAGCTAATTTTATTTTCTATATTGCTGTTGGAATATATATAATCAACACACAAAGCATCAACGCTCTAAAAAGTGGTCTCCAGACTATGGGCATAATGAACTCTCAATGTATATGAATAGACACTAATCATAAGGACCTTGTCAGAAGTGACATGAATATGAACCAGATGTGCAATGAAAATGGCTTCTGATAGGAATTGAAGACAATATACCATGAAGAATATATATCAACTGCAAATAATGAAGGAACTAACTCAAACCTACAAATGATATTTCATAAAGAGGAAGGATATGATTAAAGGAAAAATGAGAAAGATGGAAAACAAAGAACTTCAAAAAACCAATCACATAATACTTTTCCTTGGTTAAGATAAATTAGTATAATAGTTCTATACTTGATTTCAGATATCCAAACATCACTTATTACCGGGCCAATAACCAACTAATTATTGAAAAATGAAGGACAATTGGCATGCATAGAGGACACACATTTATATAACCATGTCTGATTCCAATCCAATCCCAATCTTTTTATATTTTTATAAAAATATTATATAGTGTTTTTTTTTTTAAGTATTGTATAGTATTTTTGTTTCAAAAACACTGTGCCATCAAAAACATTGTATAGTGTTTTTAAAACAAAATACTATATAGTAGTTTAAATAAATATATATATATATATAGTGTTTTTAAAATGCAGTTAAAAATGACAGCTTTTTTAAGGGATATTTTTGGAATATTAAAAATCGAGAGTGGTGGTTTAAGAATTTTAAAAAGGGGTATAATTCGGGAAATTTTCAAAAAAATATTTTTTCCATGACCAATCGCCCAACAATAAATAGTAACCCCCTTACGGGGAGTAATACATATTAGTGCTAGATAATCAAAGATTTTGTGACTTAGCTGTTGAAGATAAAGACTTGCTATTCTTTTCCAAGCCCATTTCCGTATTACGTGCCAATTATACCATATAAAATATAAACAAAATCTCCATATCAAAATATATATATATATATATATATATATATATATATATATATAGTGGTTATCGTCACTTTCGGTGAGAGTCAGTCAAGCCTGTAAAGGTAGAGAGGTTTAGATTCGATTGCAGGGTTACAGGTGGGGTGGTGGTATGTCACGGGATAGCAACGGGATCTGCGGAAGAGGCACCAAGGAATGTAGTTGGCATCGGTGTCAGGGTAAGTTTGCGGGGCCCAACCCGACGATTGGTTTAGGCGTGACGGGAGGGAGGCCCAACTTGACTGGCTTTGGTCGGAGTAGTAACAAAGATCGGACTAAAGCGAGTTAAACAAACAAGTTTTAACCTCAATGAAAAGTTTCACGGTAACAACATCCTCGGCCAATAAAAACTTTACAAGTGGATCTTAAGTGATCTACAAAGTTATCCTTGGAATCATTTCTTCAAAATACACTAACCCTACACGATTAGGGTCTCCAGTTTTTAATTATGGATCTAAAAAAAACAAAATTCCTGAATTCCTTATCACAGAAAACAGAGGAACTAAAATTAACAGGGTTGATTATTTTACTGGAAGAATAATCCTGAATTGTTATTATAAAGAAGGAAAAAGAGGACAATTAATTCCTGATGGAAACTAAAACTAGACACCTCCTAACAAAGCTCAGAATGCATTTGCCATCGTACTGATCTAAATTAACAGAAATGAATCTGATAGAAAATAGCAGAAGCAAGGCCTGCAATGGCCACCACAACAGAAGCCAGCCTCGGTGCTTCGGATGACATGGGTGCTGAAGCAGGAGTCGGTGATGGAGTAACAGCCGAGTTCGGCAGCGGAGTTGCCGGTGTTGGAGATGGAGTAGCTGGCGGTGGAGATGGCGGTGTAGTTGGCGGCGGCGATAGAACTGGAGATGGCCGTGGGTTTGGTGATGGCACTGGAGATGGCCGCGGGGTCGGTGATGGCACTGGAGATGGCCGCGGGGATGGCGATGGGCCTGGAGATGGCCGTGGGGGTGCTGCATTTGATCGAGAAGGATTAGGATCACATCGTTCGCTGAATCATGGACACCAACAAGACATTATACGAATACTCGATGAGCATCTTCGCGATCATCACTTACATGGAGGTGCAGCCGAAGGACTAGAAGCTGCAATTTCAATCCCAAACAAAACAATTGAGGTCTGCAGATGTGAAGATGGCAATATCTACAAACGCATTCACAGCTCACCGTCGCAGTGGATTTTGGGCGCCTTGACGGAGCAAGCGGCGGGGAGATCGAGCGCCCGGGTCATGTTCACGGCGACACCGAGATCGTTAGCCTCCTGCAGCGTCTGGCAGATGCACTCCGGGCTCTCCGTGACGACGTCGGCGACGCCTGCGCAGCACGACCTGCTGGGACAAGGAGTGGTGCTGTCGTTGGTGACGTACGAAAAGCAATCCATCAGGGCGGACACGATGTCCGAGCAATCAGAGGGTGGCGGAGCGGGGGAGAGCGAGGCGGCGCCCGCGGGGGAGAACGACAAGGCGCATATGGCCATGAAACCAGTGGCCAATACCACTATCCTCGCCATTGCTTTACTACATGCGCATGCAGATGACAAGAATATATAGAGAGAGAGAGAGAGAGAGAGAGAGAGAAGGGAGAAGAAGGGATGAGGAGAATGGAGCAGCTTGGAATCAGTTCTAAGATTTCTCGCAGCTGACTTGTGATCCAATGAAACAGTTGCGAGATCTAAGGTCAGTTTGGATGTGGATACGTATTGGGTGCCCCAAATACCTAACGAGTCCGCGGTTTAATAGTGACGTTTGATGCACGTCAGGGAATGTTATCACTTTGTGTTTCCACCATTAGTTGTTGTGGTTGGTCAACCATTGATGTGTGTAGCAGTTGATGGCAATCACTCGTCTTCTCTCGATGTTTTCTTTAACATGTTGCCGTTTTTGGGTAATGCAAATGGCTAAGGTTTTGAGCTTAGTGATAAATCGATTGTGGGAAGAAATGTTTCTGTTTTGCAATGTTATAAAATCTGAAAAATTATATATAATGGTCAATCTCTTTCAGCTAAATAAAATTTGGTTTTTAGTTAAAACTTTGAGTAACATTAATTTTCGTTAAATATTTATTACAAGTAACACGACCAATATTTTAAATATTGTCTTACATTAAAACCAAAAGATTATCTACTATATATATATATATATATATATATATATATATATATATA